TTATCAGATATGTAAAGATTTATAAATATAAAGAAACTGTTTATTTATTATAAAAACTGATTAAACTGAGATCTAAAAGAAATCTGAAATATAGATATTTAACATTAACTTTACAGACATTGCCCTTGAATAAGATGAAATGTTTTGGTAAACCCAGTTCTTCTAGAATTTAATTTAACCCTCTTAGTTGATGTTAAGCCTTGCGCTAATATTTTATTGGTTTTAGTTGTAACAACAAACACATACAACCATACTGTGATAGTATTAACACACCAAACTGTGATAGTATAAACACACCAAACTGTACTAATACAAACACACAAAGCTGTGATAGTATCAACACACCAAACTGTACTAATACAAACACACCAAACTGTAATAGTATAAACACACCAAACTGTGATAGTACAAACACACCAAACTGTGATAGTATAAACACACCAAACTGTGATAGTATAAACACACCAAACTGTACTAATACAAACACAACAAACTGTGATAGTATAAACACACCAAACTGTGATAGTACAAACATACCAAACTGTACCAATACAAACAGACTAAACTGTGATAGTACAAACAAACCAAACAAACATACAAACACACCAAACTGTGCCAATACAAACACACCCAACTTTAAATAGTACAAACATACCAAACTGTACCAATACAAACACACCAAACTGTGATAGTACAAACATACCAAACTGTACCAATACAAACACCAAACTATACTAATACAAACATACCAAACTGTAACAGTACAAACACAACAAACTGTAATAATACAAGCACACAAAAATATGATATTAAAAAACTGTACCCATACAAAACACCAAACTGTACCCATACAACCAATAAACTGTACTAATACACACTCACCAAACTGTACTTATACAAACACACCTAGCTGTAATAATACAAGCACACCAAACTGTGATAGTAAAAACACAACAAACTGTACCAATACAAACAAACCAAACTGTACCTATACAAACACCCCAAACTGTACTAATACAAACACACCAAACTGTACCAATATGAGATCATCAAACTGTACCAATTCAAACACACTAAACTGTAACAATGCGAACACACTAAACTGTAACAATACGAACACACTAAAGTGTACCAATATAAGTTACCAAACTGTACCATTTAATACACACTAAACTGTACCAATACGAACGTACTAAACTGTACCAATACAAACACACCAAACTGTACTAATACAAAGACACCAAACTGTACTAATACAAAAACGCCAAATTGTACCAATACTTACACACCAAACATGTATACCAATACAAACACACCAAACTATTTTATTACACACATGCAACAACTTGTATTCGAACAGACACCCATAAGCCATACGACACTAACACTACGTTTAGAAAGGCTTTAGAAATGCTGCCTATATTACACTTCTCGACTTCGGGTTTAAAAATATCATGATTTCCCTTTGCTGTAAAATTAATATTCTACTACTCAGTCCGGGAAACTTTATGATTATAATTTGGAAAATATGGAATTCATAACTTTTTAATTTGATTCTGTAGACTCATATTGGCAGGCGGACAATAGATTCTTTATATATACTATATATATAGAATGTATATATAGTATATACATATATATATATATATATATATATGTATTGGAAAATATGAAGGATGATCGAATGTATTTGAGAACAGGGAGTTCCAAAATAAACAGTGAATAAGGGCCAGAGACTAATTTAAAATCGACATCTTCAATAAATATTAAAAGCTTTGCGAAGCGCCCCGTTTTCTACTAACAAACTTAGAGTTTAAATGTTCCTTTTCTAGTACCCATTTTTCATCATAATTTTAAAACTTATTTACGCGAATTTTCCCGTTTAAATTGGTGCATTTTATTGGATACAAACAGACAGACAAGCGGCTAGGATGGGCTAGGAGGGTCAAGCGCTGCGGCTAGGACAGATTAGCGGACAGTTGGGTGTAAACAACGTGGGAGTAGGTCGGAATTGTAGGTTTCGCGCATATCATTATAAGATTTTTTCTCCGTTGAAAAAAAACTTGGAAACCATCAACTATATGATCATAAAATTTCTTTAAAGACTGACAAACTCAAATGTTCTAATTCCCATATCTTTGTAACCTGTGAAATTTTTAAATTAGATTATTTGATCTAACAGAATTAATAGTTGGAAATATCTAAAGTTTACAACATTAGGTTGCAAATATGTAGGACCACAGAGTGAACATTCTTTTAGAGATATTTCTAGTTGTCAGATCAATAAATTGATAGATTTGCTTAAACAATTAACATACTCTAGAACTTTAATTTTTTGTTAATCTGATTTTAATAACATTTAAGGAATTTTGGCGCAAATCTTTAAAAAATCACTCTTATTCGGGCCAACTTATTAGCTGGAGGATTTGAAATAAAAGGTGAAAAAGAAAAATTCAAGTAATTGTTTCGTGCTTTTCTCACATTTCCTTATTCTAAGTTCTTGCATAATTTTTCTGAAACAATAATATTTTCGATCCAGACAAATCTAAATTTTCGAGCAACTTTAAACCAGATATTTTCAAGCAACTTTAAACCAGATATTTTCAAGCAACTTTAAACCAGATATGTTCGAGCAACTTTAAACCAGATATTTTCAAGCAACTTTAAACCAGATATGTTCGAGCAATTTTAAGCCAGAAATTTTCGAGCAACTTTATACCAGATATTTTCGAGCTACTTTAAACCAGATATTTTCGAGCAACTTTAAAACAGATATTTTCGAGCATCTTTAAACCAGATATTTTCGAGCAACTTTAAACCAGATATTTTGAGCAACTTTAAACCAGATATTCTCGAGCAATTTTAAACCAGATATTTTCGAGCAACTTTAAACCAGATATTTTCGAGCAACTTTAAACCAGATATTTTCGAGCAACTTTAAACCAGATATTCTCGAGCAACTTTAAACCCGATATTTTCGAGCAACTTTAAATCAGATATTTTTGAGCAACTTTGAAACAGATATTTTCGAGCAACTTTAAACCAGTTACTTTTGAGCAACTTTAAACCAGATATTTTCGAGCAATTTTAAACCAGATATTTTCAAGCAAATTTAAACCAGATATTTTCGAGCAACTTTAAACCAGATATTTTCAAGCAACTTTAAACCAGATATGTTCGAGCAATTTTAAACCAGATATTTTCAAGCAACTTTAAACCAGATATTTTCGAGCAACTTTAAACCAGATATTTTCGAGCAACTTTAAACCAGATATTTTCAAGCAACTTTAAACCAGATATTTTCGAGCAACTTTAAACCAGATATTTTCGAGCAACTTTAAACCAGATATTTTTGAGCAACTTTAAACCAGATATTTTCGAGCAACTTTAAACCAGATATGATCAAGCAACTTTAAACCAGATATTTTTGAGCAACTTTAAAGCAGATATTTTCGAGAAACTTTAAACCAGATATTTTCGAGCAACTTTAAACCAGATATTTTCGAGCAACTTTAAACCAGATATTTTTAAGCAACTTTAAACCAGATATTTTCAAGCAACTTTAAAACAGATATTTTCGAGCAACTTTAAACCAGATATTTCGAGCAACTTTAAACTAAATTTTTTCGAGTAACTTTAAACCAGATATTTTCGAGCAACTTTAAACCAGATATTTCGAGCAACTTTAAACTAAATTTTTTCGAGTAACTTTAAACCAGATATTTTCAGGCAACTTTAAACCTGATATTTTCGAGCAACTTTAAACCAGATAATTTCGAGCAACTTTAAACCAGATATTTTCGAACAACTTTAAACCAGATATTTTCAGGCAACTTTAAACCTGATATTTTCGAGCATATGAAGTGCTGAGTAACTAGGCAATGGGAATGTATGTACTGCAATGAGCCTGCATAGTGTAAATATATAAAAACCCTCTGATATTCTCTATTCTACAACTTTGTAAATATTATTAAAAACTTTGATTGGAAAAGAAAGATCTATTAACATTATTCTTCATCTAGGCCTAGACTCAATCAGGAAAGAATAAAGAACAGACAAATGTAGAATTTAGCCTAGAGAATACTCATGAAACTTTAAAGCACAGATTACACAGTCAATAAAGTTTAAAGCATAGATTACACAGTTAGAACAATAATATTTAAAGTATAGATAATAATGATAGGACAAGAAACTATAAATTATAGATTAACCAGATAGGAAAATGAACTTTAAATTGTAGATTACACAGACAGAACAAGAAACTCTAAAGCAAAGACAACACAGATAACACCAACACCACAATTTTGTTTTAGAAATGGAAAATCTTCTTTTATGAGGTATGAGGGATATTAACGATTAATATAATAAAGATTGACAAAAAACTCCTGTAGCAGTGTGATTACTATCAAATTAATTTAGTAGGCAACAATTTTTAATATACAGTTTATAATAAAATAGGGAACAAAGAATTATATTTATTTTTGCCGGGGAGCCACAGGATAGTCTTACATGAGCCCCCAGGTTTAGCATAATAATTATAAAATCTTAAAATTTTTTGCATTGATGCATGATGGAGCAAAAAAAAGGGTTGGAGAACAGGATGCAGAGTAAAGGGTTGGAGAACAGGATGTAGAGAAAAGGGTTGGAGAACAGGATGCAGAGTAAAGGGTTGGAGAACAGGATGCAGAGTAAAGGGTTGAAGAACAGGATGCAGAGAAAAGGGTTGGAGAACAGGATGCAGAGTAAAGGTTTGGAGAACAGGATGCAGAGTAAAGGGTTGGAGAACAGGATGCAGAGTATAGGGTTGGAGAACAGGATGCAGAGAAAAGGGTTGGAGAACAGGATGCAGAGAAAATGGTTGGAGAACAGGATGCAGAGTAAAGGGTTGGAAAACAGGATGCAGAGAATATGGTCGGAAAGCAGGATGCAGAGAAAAGGGTTGGAGAGACGCAGCGAAAGGGTTGGAGAACAGGATGCAGAGTAAAGGGTTAGAGAACAGGATGCAGAGAAGTGGGAAGGAAAACAGGATGCAGAGAAAAGGTTTTGAGAACAGGATGCAGAGTAAAGTGTTAGAGAAATGGATCCAGAGAAAAGGGTCGGAGAACAGGATGCAGAGCAAAGGGTTAGAGAACAGGATGGAGAGTAAAGGGTTTGAGAACAGGATGCAGAGAAAAGGGTTGAAGAACAGGATGCAGAGTAAAGGGTTGGAGAACAGGATGCAGAGAAAAGGGTTGGAGAACAGGATGCAGAGTAAAGGGTTGGAGAACAGGATGCAGAGAAAAGGGTTGGAGAACAGGATGCAGAGTAAAGGGTTGGAGAACAGGATGCAGAGAAAAGGGTTAGAGAACAGGATGCAGAGAAGTGGGTTGGAAAACAGGATGCAGAGAAAAGGTTTGGCAAACAGGATGCAGAGAAAAGGGTTGGAGAACAGGATGCAGAGAAAAGGCTTGGAGAACAGAATGCAGAGTAAAAGGTGTCTATTTCACAATTACTCTCCTGTTTTGTCTTTAATGTATACTGAACATCTTACCTACAAGTCAGTTTGTTACTTCAAATATATGAAGTTTTAGTACAATTATATACTTTATTTTGAAGGTTAGCCCTTCCAGCTATTACTGAATTAATCTAATTGTAGAAAATGAAACTATTTTAAACAGGTTTGTAAGTTGAGGTTTTGTTTACACTATATATGGCTGCCAAGTTTAAATCTTTGATAGAGAATAGATTAAAGAGTCCTCAATCTATTGCAAGTTCAAGTATGAATTTTAATTTTTACAAAATTTAAGTTTTGTTGAAAAAAAGTTAATTCATTCAATTTTATATTTTTTTGAACAGTAATGAATTGTTCACCCTAGAATATATATATTATATGTACATATATATTTGTATATAACGAAGAAGGTAATAATTCCCTTTTAACATCCAATATCCACCATTAGCTAGAATATAATTAATTTTCTGTAGCAGAGCAAACCAGTTACAAGAAACTGAAGAATTATATTAAATGTATAGTTTATGTAATTATAAGTTTTACGTCTAGCCTAGATTAATTAAAATAACAGATAATTAATCTATGACGTCAGGTTTAAGACTTAATTACAATAGCTGATGCGAACAAAAATAAGTTTTGTTTTTGGATTTTGAAATTATTTTTAATTTTAATTTAAATCTAATGAATTTAGAAAGATATTTAAAATGTAGTATGATAAGCTGAACAGCGTAGATCTGAAAGGTTTCGGTTAACTTTAAAATTGTTTNTAGTTAAACAAACAAGAACAACGAAATACATTCTACCTGGATTCGGAATATTTTGAGGTTTGATGTTTCATTTAAAATTTTCCAAAATAAAGACAGTTTATGCTTAATACATACATTAAAGTGTAACAAAAAAGTATAAAAAAAGAAAATCCAAAAATCGAGTTATTTTATCAAAAACTGATTATTACACATTTTTTATTTCAATATATGGCCTTTTTTGTAAGAAATATATCTTATATTTATTTTTCTCGGCTTGGATTGAAATTTGTATTTTTGAAAAAAAAAAACTTTTTCTGATTTGGCGCATTTTTAATACTCACTGTTAAAATTGGTCAAATCCCGTTTCAATCAACGGAACAATAATAAATGGAGTGCAAGATATCTATTTATTATAAAAAGAATAATTCTGGCAGCCTCTCTTTTGTATCCTAAACATTTCATGCGCTCAGCCACTTCATTTACCTGTTTACGGTTCAACCGGCCTTGGATACTACATTAGTATCAGATATGGACAACTCACTTCGATCTAGCGCATTAAACCCTTTCATTTCCCTCTCTATGGTTTAAGCGGCCTTGGATACCTTTAGTATCAGATATGGACAACTTGCTCCGATTTAGCGCATTAAACCCCATTCAAAAGCTTTTCATTTCCTCTTCTACTGTTCAACTGGCCTTGGATACTACATTAGTATCAGATATGGACAACTTACTCCGATTTAGCGCATTAAACCCCATTTTAAACTGTATATGCAGTGAATTATGGATATTGATTTCAGTCACTGAAGCTAAGTGCCAACTCTAAACTTGTTACCCCTATTACAGTGTACAGTTATTCCTCCTGTACAATGAACCGTTATTTCTATGTGATAACGATGCTTTTTTCATTCATTCAAGTGTGGCCTGAAAAGACAGAAACGATAAAAATATAGAAAGAAAACGTAATAAAAAATTCTTTTGACTCTTGTAAGATCAGCAATTTCTGGCAGATCAATTTAACTTGTGTCTCTTGATTTCTCAGAAAATCACGAGAATTTCCTTTTCTAAAATTCTGGAGAGTTTATAAAAAATCATAAACATTAACGGGAGTGTTAAAAACTGAAATTAAATGAAATGATTAAATGATTTGCCGACGAATACTTTTCTATTTATGCTACAATATTTAATGTTAATATATTTTGAAACAACCGTTCTCCATAGACCGTTAAATTTTTCAAGCTATGCTGTCTTTAAACTCTGATTCTGTTAAAGATATATGTTCCAATTACTGTACTCGGCCTGCGATGCCCGGGTTATTCATAGGCACAGTCAGTCACGCCGTTTACCCGCGCTTGGCTTGTGACTTTGATAGCCCGCGGCATTACACATGGAATATCACAAATAAAAAAATCAGTCTTTGTCACCCAAGGGCTATACCCATGGATTTCATTCAAAAACATTCAGCCAATTTGGGTCTTCCCGCTGCCGTTTGACCAGATTTAATAAACATACAGATGGGCATCGTTTAAGTGAAGGAACGAACGAATTGGATCGATCAGAGAATTAAAAAACAGTTTTTTAAAACTAACAAAGAAAATTAATGATTTAAAATTGTTCCCAATCGTTTGTGTGTTATTGATAAGTCAGACTGTTAATGAATGATTTGTAAATCTGTAGTTCAAACAAACTTGATTTTTTTATACGAACTTTTTTTTTTGACCAAGCGAAAGGCTTTTTTCTACAGAACTTTTGAAAAGATATTTTATTTCTGAACGAACTATTTTTTTAACGAATATTTTAGTTTTAAACTTAGAAGAAAATTTTCAAGTTTTAAATTTGTCAAAATTTGTCAAAATTTGTCTAAAGTTTCTTAATTTTGCAGTATTTATAATTTAATGGGTTTCTATAAGGTCGGCTGGTCTATAGATCTTTTTCATCAATTATGTAGAACACCGTGGTGAGAAACTGGGTTAGAAGTCTAGTTCTTTATTCTTTAAACAAACAGAGAACTGACCATCTGGGAAATTAGTAGAATTGATCAGAGGAGTACAGGAACAATTAATGTATTGCACACTGCTCACAATATATATATATATTTGTATAAATATATATATATATTTATATAAATACTGGGTGTCTCAAGTGAAACACTGATCTACTTTATTTTATATTATTCTACAAACGTATATACTTTATCAGATAACTTAAGTGCCAAGTGTTGCCAGTGGAATTTTAAAAACATTTACAATTTTTTTTCCTCGTATTTTGAAAAAAATCAACTTATTTTAGCCTTTTTGACCCAAGGGGTACTCAAGGGTTTAATAAAAAAAATTCAGTTTGGCCAGCATATAGCAAACATATATATATAAATATGAGCGAAGAGCTTTATTACATAGATATTCCACTGATCAACTTAAGTTTGCTTCACTTTTTATTAAATATTAAATTATTGAGATTTACATATCTTTTCGAAATTTATTTTCAAGAATTTAGTTATCTTGTAGAATAACGCACCCTTCAATGCGTGGGCAAGGAAGTGTAAACTTCACATAGAAGCTTAACATTTTATTTTAAAATTATTTCAAGAAAAAAAAAAAATGGCTATTTTGACCCTACAGATATGATTCCAAAATAACTATAGAAAATCATAAAACAAGGATATACGTTGCGTTTGTAGATTTAGCAAAGGTTTAAAGGGTATTGTTGTGAATAGGACATTCACTTGAAATGTCAGGTTCTGAAATCCGGATTCAGGTCCAAAAATTCGGATTCAGGTTCTGAAATCCGGATCCAGGTCCAGGAATCCGGATTAAGTTTAAGCAGATTAAGTTTAAGCAGATTAAGTTTAAGGAGAATAAGTTTAAGCAGATTAAGTTTAAGAAGATTAAGTTTAAGGAGAATAAGTTTAAGAAGATTAAGTTTAAGGAGATTAATTTTAAGGAGATTAAGTTTAAGGAGATTAAGTTTAAGAAGATTAAGTTTAAGGAGATTAAGTTTAAGTTCCCATTTAAAATATTCTACCTCTATGAAAGTAATACAATAAGAATTGGTCAGAATATTAATTTGGAAAATTCTCCAAGGGTTTCTATTGAATAATAGAACAGTGTTCAGGGATGAGAACCCTTAATGTTGAAATAAAATCCTTTGTTTATCAGATTCAAAGAGATTAATACTAGGCAAGGGCAGTTACAATCTGGTATTTAAAACTAATTATTTATGGGTTAATTTTTCTAATATAAATAAAATATAAAAAAATTGTTAATATCTAAACCACAGAACAGAGATTAGAATAGGAAGATATTAAAACAATTATTCGGTATGAATTTTGTCAGTCCCTTTGAGCCTGAAAAGGAGTTTAAAATGTACAATTTATTTATTAAAAATCGTCCTTTGTAAAGTAAATACGTGCAGACTGCTGAATTGTTAATCTTTTTTGCTTAAGACTGCAGTTAATATCTTGCTTTACATTAATTTTACTATTTTAAATAATTAAGCAAGACTGCGTAGGGGAGTTTGGGGTTGCATAACAACCATTGTTATTAATAAAATTTCACCTTCAGTAAAAAGATTATTTTCAGATTCATGCATAGTTCTATATTATTCAGGTAATAATTTCAATTATTTATTTTTTCTCAAAATTTCGATTTTCATAAATTAATGCAGATTACATTCCGACTGTCCCAAAAAGCAAAACAATTAGGAGACGACTTTAGCAAGGGGACTCTAGGATTAAGAGGGGGGGTAGGTAAATAACATTTTTTTCACTCCCCCCCCCCCCACTCCTTGTCAGGGCTTTAGAAAATGAAAATATCTCTCTTATTATTACTCAGCTATCGAGCTAGGTTGAACCAGTGAAGAAAAAAATTGCAGATTTGAAAATATCAAAATATTTCTTTCTTCAAAATCTGATCACATACTGATAATTTAGTAAACTTTTTCCTATAAAAAGATGTCCCAGGCCCCGAAAGGTTATATTGTGGAAGACGATACCTGGCCGCCTAAAACAAGTTCCACAAGATTCACCGGAATGAGATTGAACGGATACGAGGCATTGTACTTTCTGTCTGACGCGTGTGATCTTAATATTGACACATTTCTGAACCCTCTAGTAAAAGTTATAAGAAAAATATATATACTGGAAGTTACTTTATGCATTTCATGAGAGATTGACCTCACGTCCTCTATAATATAGCACAAATGTGTGATTTTTCCAGCTAATTCCTCTCTATACTATATATT